TGTCCCCAACACCCTTGTGTCCCCAACACCCTTGTGTCCCCATCCCGCACCACCCTGGGTGTCCCCAACACCCCATGTGCCCACCCAGTCCCAGTCTGGCTGTCCCCAACATCCTTGTGTCCCCAACACCCTTGTGTCCCCATCCCGCACCACCCTGGGTGTCCCCAACACCCCATGTGCCCACCCAGTCCCAGTCTGGCTGTCCCCAACATCCTTGTGTCCCCAACACCCTTGTGTCCCCATCCCGCACCACCCTGGGTGTCCCCAACACCCCATGTGCCCACCCAGTCCCAGTCTGGCTGTCCCCAACATCCTTGTGTCCCCAACACCCTTGTGTCCCCATCCCGCACCACCCTGGGTGTCCCCAACACCCCATGTGCCCACCCAGTCCCAGTCTGGCTGTCCCCAACATCCTTGTGTCCCCAACACCCTTGTGTCCCCATCCTACACTAACCTGGTTGTCCCCAACACCCCGTGTCCCCATCCAGCCCCAGCCCGGGTGTCCCCAGCCACCCCAGCTGTCCCCCCCTCGCTGTGCCCAGCCCAGGGGTCCGTACCCACTTCGTGCTGCCCCGGGTGGTCCGAGATCTCCATCACGTACATCTTGAGGCCCCGGAAGCTCCTCCCGATGCTGTAGACGCGGGTGATGTCGGGACACTCCTCGTTCACCCGCTTCATCAGCTGGGGGGACACAGCGCTGGGCTGGGGGGCACCCCGGGGGTGCCAGAGCCCCTGCCCCACACCAAGGAGCCCCCAGGGGTGCAGAGTTCCCCATTGCCCCACAGTGGGGTTCCCCCAGGAGGACAGAGACCCCCTGTCCCACACTGGGGTGCCCCCAGGGGTGTGAGGACTCCCTTGCACCACCTCTGGGTGCCCCAGGAGCACAGAGACCCCCTGCCCCACACTGGGGTGCCCATAAGGTTGTAGAAACCCCTGACCCACACTGGGGTGCCTCTGGGGCTATGGAGACCCCCTGCCCCATCCCAAAGTGCCCTCCGGGTACCCACACCAGGGTGCCCCCAGGGGCACAGAGACCCCTCCCAGCCCCACTCCAGGGCACCCCCAGGGCACAGAGACCCCCCTGCCCCA